AGAAATAAGCTTACAAGAAAGCAGACACTAAACGAGGCGAACACTAAAGAACGCTGTTTTAACTATTTATGAAAGTTTAAAAGCCTGAAAGTTGTGCTGTCTGGTAAAGTGTCATAACAACGCATTAAACCACATACATTATTAAACAATATGCTCTTGATATTCCATAAATATAAAAATTCTCTACAACTAGCAAGCAAAAAGTCTCAATTGTTCAAATGGACCGCAAAACAGCTTTTGGCATATTTTTAAGCTACTTATGAGCTCTTCCTTTCCAGTCCAAATGCAAACAGCCAAAGGGCACTCTGGTATTGTTTTGTATGTCCTCCATTTTGAACAAAAGATGCTTCTAATAGTCAAAATAAGCTAATTAGCGGCACAAGGCAAAAATTGCTAAAAAGCAGCAAATGAAAAAAAAAGCAACAAATTGGAATATAAAATGCAAAATTAAAATGCCTTTGTTTATTTGGAATGGCAATTATAATGTTGACTGGGGAGTTTTTTTTTAATGTCTTTTGTTCTGCGCTTGCATACGAATTAACTTCTTAATGTTCATTAACTTGTTGGGGCAACATCATGTCAAATATATGTACATGTATTCTCATATGCATGCGGAGTACACTTCTTTTTTTTTTGCGTACAGGAATTTTTGGTTGGCTGGAAACAGGACTTTAATGCACTTTCTCTACTGCAGCATTGTGGTGGCTGCTGCATTATCCATTATCCGTTCTCTCTGCCGTCACGCTGTCAGCCGCGATTCCATTTGCACTGGCTGCTGTCAGCTAGCTGCCTGTCTGTCTGTCCGTCCGTCCGTCTGTCTGTCTTTCTGTGCCACCACTCAAGATGCAGTCGAGATGACAGCCTTGTGATGCCATTTCTTTGCCCCAGCTCGGGCATAATTTACATTGTGCGAATGGAATTGAAAATTTCACACACACAAAAAAATGCATTTGTGGCATGACGCTTTTTTTTTTTTCTTTTGCGAATATAAAAGTTGGCTTGGTTCATTTATTTATGTCAGGCACTTGGGTTGTGATTTTTAGCTTTGTTCATTTGTTTTCAAACTGATTGCATCATAATTACCCAACTGACGTACCGATTTTATGCGCTTGCCTCCGCCCCCTGCGCTCCTAAGTGCTTTTTAACGAGCTGCTGCTGTTGCTGCTCCTCATGCTTTGTTCGTCCATTTGGATATTTGGGTTCCATTCCTGTGCGCTACATGGCCGAAAATAAATGCTGTAATTTCCAGCCATGTGCGTTTCTCTGATTTTGTCGCTATAATCTGGTACATGAACCCATAATTTGTAATTTCAACCTAATTACTTTGCCTGCTGCCAGCGTGTGTGTGTGTGTGGGCTGGCCAGGGGGGCGTGACGGAGCCAAAAACATTGTCGTCAGCCATAAAATGTCAGCAGCAAGCAACAAAACGCCCATTTCGGCAGCAGCAGACTTCACATGCACACACACACACACATACACACACACACATACGTGCGCACGCCCAGCCACGCCCCCTCATTCAGTCATGTGTGGCCAGTACATGTATTTGTGGCTGCCGCATTGCTAGCTGCTGAAATTTGTGGCGCGACATATGTAAATTTCTGACAGCTGTTTGGAGGTCATTGAAATTGATTTTTAGTTGCATTGCTTTGTTTTATTTTTTTTGTTTCAATCCAAGTAAAGGAATTTAAATATTAGTTTGTCCTGCAATTTTTGACAATTAATCAAATAAAAAAACGGCATTTGATGGGTATCTAAATTGGTATGGGTAATGGGTATATAAATTACCTATTGCAGGGCTAGAACGAAAGTAGAATTGATGGTTTGTTAAGTTAAATGGAATATACATAAAAAATAGAATGGACTTTTGTGATAGCTGAGCTAAAAATGCTTTAAATGTATAAGGGATTTAGATCATATAAAATAGAGGGATTTAAAATGTAATAACAAAAACAAATCGAAAGTAAAAAAATTTGATAAAAGGGTCTATACACATAAGATAGGAAAACAGACTTCTATAGTTCTTCAAAGTTTCTATAGGCTAGATAAGAATACAAAATGGACTTGAAGCAAGGTATTTAGTTGATTTGTAATCATCAGGGCTAATAACAAGGAAGTAGATAATTTTATATATTAAATTAAAGTTTTCCGATTAAGAATAAAAGCGTACAACTTTAAATTTCGTTGCCGACTTTCCGGCGCAGCATCTGAAGCCAGCAATTTACATATTTTAACTGTCAGTACGCGCAATTAAACAATTTAAAAACACATTTCATTTCCATTTTTATTAATTTATTGCAGCATTTTAACATTAAATACTATTATTATTGTTTTCTTTTATTATATTTGGAGAGAGTTTAAAAATCTGCCAGCAAGAAGAAAAATCCATTGTTCTATACAATGTCAATTATATTTAATGCAAGCGATTTTCATGAAGCTACCTTATGTGAAATTTTCATAAAAATTACAAACAAAAAATATATATATTTAAATGCACGTTTCAATAAAAACTGAGATGAACTCGACGCGCACGACATGAAGCCTGTTTGTTGTTTACATTTTTATTTAATTTTTTTACTATGTAAATGTTATACCAGGCGCAGTTTTAAATACTTTGAAAACAGTCGGAAAAAAAAACGAAATGAAAAGTATTATACGATTATTCGTTTTATTATTAAATGCAAACGCATAAATATTTAAGCCAAGCGAAACTGACGACAAAAAGCGGCAGTTAAATCAAATATTAATGTCTTGATGTGACAACTGGAGTGGCGGCAGAGGCATACAACAGCAGGGGGCGCGGCACAGGATGCTGATATGTCATGTGCATTCATAAATCATTTGGCAAAATTGAACTGGCCAAGTCACAGTGCGCCACAAAACCCAAACGTATCAGTCAGTTAAAGTGCATTTAAGCGAATAAACGTAAAGACAGTATGTATATTGCCAGCTGCTTAAACGAAGTATAAATACTCTCCTTTTGTGCGATAATGAGTTGTTTATCGATACGACTTCACTTATGCTCGACGGCCACTTTTAGCTGTATTCTTTTTTGAAACGTAAGTGCATTTCCATTCATACTATATGGTCACTTTGAACTAAATTATTTATACTATTTATGTATAAATAATAGGATGCATATCGTTAAGACTTGCTTCGATTTTCCTTGTCAGCTTGAATTAACTTCTACATAGTCTTTAGTTTAACTTAGTGCAATAATAAGAATTGTCCCTATCCAATTCTAAATACTCTTTTCCTTATCCTTGTGCGACTTGGACCGATTTTTCACTATGCTCCATGGTCACCTTAAATTAAATTCTAAATTCTCTTTTTTTAAACAGTTTGTAAAATAATGAGTTATTTATCTATAATATTTGTCCCGATTTGTCCCGCTTCTTACTTATCCTCCAAGGCCACTAAGAATTAAATAATAGCCTTTTTTTGTATCACTTTATGACTTGCCCCATGGCCACTTTAAATAAAGTTCTAAATACTCTTTTTTTTTTAAAAAAGTAAGTGCATTATTGAGTTATCTTCCAATGCCAGTTTAAATGAAACCTTGTTATTTGTGGTCTTAGCTCTATTGGCCTGCCATAAGCATACAGCTTGTTGCTGAAACTCATTTCGGAATTAAGTTGCGATTTTCTGTCAGTCTTTTAGCCGCATTGGGCCTCCATTGTCGCTTCTTTACCCAGTCGCATTAATCCTTTATTGTCACTTAAGATTGTCAAACCCAGAGCAATTACTTTTTAGAATTGCTTCTACACACCTCTTTCGCAATATTCCTTTTAGTCGCATTGGTCCTCCATTGTAACTTTATTTTTGGCTAGTTTTTCGCTCAATAATCTATGCCTCCACATGCCTCTTACCAAAAGTGGTTGTATAAATCGAATGTAGTAGTCATTATGCCCTCGTGAAGCGTGTAAATGTACAACAATAAGAGATGGCAGCGAAACGAAATGTAACAATTCATGCGCAATGAAAATGTGGCCATGTTATGACAACGACAGCCGCAGCAACAACAACATCAGCAATAAAGGCAACAATAACAACAACAACAACAATAATAATAACAGCAGCAGAAACAACAACAACTGAAATGCGTATTGGTCATAAAATAGCAACATCAATGCAACGCATTCATTTGTATACACAACTCTGGTCCGGAATACAGCGCTATTAATAATAAATGTAGCACTGGTTACACTCACACGCACACACACATGCACTCACACACACAGAGAGAGTCAGTGACATACAGAAGCAGTCAAATGAACTTTGCAAACCGAAATTCCCAACAATAGCAAAAACAACAAGCTACCAACGAGTCATAACCCATAAAGCCCAACAGCTACAATGGGTGGGTTTGTTGTTGTTGCTTTTGTAGTAGTCACACATGCACACACACATACACACATAAAGCATTGTAAAGACCATCCACACACACACAGCAACAACAACAACAAGAATTGAGTATGCAAGTGCCATAATAATAATAAATGCTATAATCCCTGAAATCGTTTGCGCCTCTGCGAACACCTCCTGAACGCGCCCATTCTTCTCACCAATCCAGTGTATGTATTTTTTATTTTCAATTTTCATTGTTTCGTCTCCAGCAACAACGACAACAACAACAACAACAACAACAACAATCGGCGCGTCAAGTGAATTAAGCGATTTTTAAAGCTTTACGCTAAATGAAATTTGAATTGCCGTTCAACGAACACACGAAATACACGAAAGTGTTCACTTGTGTGTGCAAATTAAATTACGCAAATCAAATAAATGTAAAAAAAACACATGCAACAAAAAAACCACAAAACAAATGTATAAAATGTATGGGAAATAAAAGTAAACCTGCAAATGAAAACTGCTGTGAAAAACTAAACCAACAGAAATATAAATAAAATAAGAGGAAGTCGCGTAATTAAACGAATATATATAAAGTCTATATTCTCTCAACGCGTGTGTATGTGTGCGTGTCTGTGTATTTAACTAATTCTAATTAAACGCACAAATTGCACTGTACAAAATGTTTATAATCACGGTAATTAAACTTTTGCTAATTGCGCTCAACATATTTCCAAGCCGTTTTACAAATCGACGGATTATGTTTCTCATCTATATGACGAATCTAGTGACACACGGTAAGTGCTTGAAATTGATTTCAAAACTTTAACTGGCTTGTAAAAAAATCAAATAATGAGCAGTTTACAAATAGAAGGACCATAAGCAGACTTTCCTTAAAAGCTTTAACTTGTTGCGAATTGCAAGCGTGAAGATTGCATGACAAGCAAAGCTTAGATCTGAGATTTGTTATTGGTAGAGTTTTAAGTCACAAACTGCTTGCATTTTTGTAGGTTCTTATATTATTTTCATTCAAGAATAATCTAGGTTCATTTATTTTTAAATTTCCCTAATTATGTAAATGAATATATTTAAGTCACTTTTATTTTAAAGCACAGCTGGAAAATATTGCCCCAACCTATCCAATTATTTTATCAATTTTAAATTCGCTTAGATTTCAACGAAGGGCTGCACGCTTTTTGAACAAATCATTCCGGACAGTGAAAGGTGTTGGGTGTCGAAACTGTCGACTCGGAGTCGGAGTCGAGTCGAGTCGAGTCGAGTAGTCATAATTTAATTAGTAAACTGAGACCTCAAATTGCCCGAGACGACGATGGCATCAAGCGGCTGGCTTGCATTCAATTTCAATGCCAGGTCCGTGTCCGTGCCCATGTTCGTGTTCGTGTTCGGGTTCGTGTTGCTCACATGTGCCAGGTGCAATGTTGGCATGCGGGCCGCCAACTGCGTGTTGCAGATAACAAGGTCCGCTCCAACAGCACAGCCCTGTTGCGGGTTGCTGTGGCAATAGGGGCACATCGTGGCAGGCATCCACTTGCCGTGCTTAACAGTCTGGCTGGTGTTTTGCTTTTGTGCGCATTTTCCGTGGCAAAAAAAAAACAGCACACGAAATGAATGCATAGAAAAACAAAAGTGCCATCACAACAGCAAGGATGTCCGCAATGCCTCAACAGGCTGCGGTAGCCGCTACGGACTACCGACTACGTGCCGACTACAGCTCCGGCTCCCGGCTCCCGGCTAGATAAAAAAACGAAACACGAACAAAAAATGAAAGAATAAAAACACACTGCTTTGTTAAATTATTTCATAATGACACTAACGCAGCCGTTGATTATATTTGGCCTGCGGGTCATGGACTTCCGGCAGCAGCTGCTGCTATTGCAGTTGCAGAAACGCGCAGCATCTACATATATTTGCATTGGATTCTATGACTTTGTTATGCAGCTGGCCAAGCTTTATATATAATTAATATGTTTTATTTACGAAACTATCTTGCTAAGGACACTAGCCAAAAATGTGTGCCCCAGAGTTTTACTTTGATTTTTGGGTATCTTTTCCTTACAATATAAACTCTAATTAATTAAAAAGTTTGTTCTTTATATGGAAATTTAATTCACATTTCTAGTTTTTCTTGCCTCTCTTTTTTTACTTTTTTCTGTTAGGGTATGTTTGCCTTCGGTTATTTGCATATCGCAAACCTTATTATTTAGCTGCATCTGCTGCTCATTAGCTAACCGAGTTGTCTATTCCCCTCTTCATTCACAGTTATGATGGATGAGCCCCGCTTTGCACAGCCCATACCAAATGTCACCGTTGCCGTTGGTCGTGATGCCAATCTGCCCTGTGTGGTCGAGCATTTGGGCGGCTACAAGGTGAGTGGGGTATTGGTGGAGAAGGGGCGGCATTTCGGGAGTGTCATAAATCGTGCGTACAATGAACGGCGCGCATCACAATGAAGTTTCAAGCTGGCGACAATGTCTAAAATCAATTTTGTGAATTGCTCTGACGCTGTGTGTCTGAGTGTGTGCATGTGTGTTTTTGTGTGGGTGTGAGCTGAATTGACAGCCAGAAAAAGAGGCAGACATGTGCTGTTCTGTCTATGACAAGTTGTTGGACTGGGCACAATGACAGAGTACGCTGTTGAGTAACTGCTTTCCAGTCTATTCCAATTTTCTATATTTGAATTTATCGGGCAACTGATAATAAAGAAGTCTTCACATCGACTAAATCAACAGTTTGAAAACTTCGGGCACAAAAACTAATAACCCAAACGTCTGGCACCCACGACCACACCAGCAGAGGATGCATTGTGTGAACCCAGCAAAATGACGAGGAAATCACTTATCATTTATCTCAGTTGCGCGCGCTCATAACAAATCACAAATATTTACTCGCCATATCAACTTCATATAAAACGCTGCCCTGTGCCAGCGCTTGCTGCCTGCTGCTTGCTTGTCCTCGTCACTGGACATGCGAGGAGTCCAAGGCGCCAAGTCTCTGTCTCAGGCAGCTTCTTCTATCTGGCTCTTATTGGACTTTCATCAACATTGGTTGCCAAGGAGCGGGCTGCTGCTGCTGAAAACGAGAAACTCATTGCTGTCACTGGGCAGAAAGTAAATTTGAAAAGTTTGCAGCGAGGGCGGCATGGCTGCAAAATCCTTGCCGGGACATGAACTGTCCTTGTGTCACACGCAATGTAAGCAAACGAAGCCAAACTGATGCGGCTAGCACAAAAAAAAAAAACTGTATTAAAAAAGCGGAAACAGCTGTCAAGTTGGCTTTTTTCTTTTTCTAAGCCACACTCATGCGTCACAACAAGGCGTTCATTTATTATAACTACAGCTCTGTGTGTGTGCGTGCGCGTGTGTGTGTGTCAACTTAGCTATGTGTGCAGCACAGTTGAATATCGATTGGCTTGTTCATTGTAGGTGGCCTGGATACACATTGATCGCCAGATGATACTCACCATACATCGCCATGTCATCTCACGCATACCACGCTACAGCATCACCTATGCGGACAACACGTGGCTGCTGCACGTCAATCAGGCGCATCAGGACGATCGCGGCTATTATATGTGCCAGGTCAACACCAATCCCATGATTAGCCAGGTTGGCTATTTGCAGGTGGTGGGTAAGTGCCGCAGTTAAAGCCAACAGCCAAAGCTGTACACTCTACTCATATATATCTCTCCCTCTCATTGCAGTGCCACCCAACATACTGGACATAGAGAGCACCCCATCTTCGGTGGCAGTGCGTGAAAATCAAAATATCAACATGACATGTCGCGCCGACGGATTCCCAACGCCAAAAATCATTTGGCGTCGAGAGGATGGCGAGGAAATTGCCGTAGAGAAAAAGAAAAAAGGTATGCGAGTGTCAAACTTTGATGCGGGTTGCTTTAAGAGTTAGAGAGTTGAAAATTAAATAGAGTTTAATTAGTTCAAATATTGACTATAAAAGATTATTATCCACATGACTTTTTTAAGTACATGCTAAATTTAAAAGCGAGTTATTTCCAATTTTATTTGATAGTCGCTTTGCCAAAGACTTACTTTAAATTAATATTTGCTGTTAGGAGATTAAATTTTATATAAATTCATAAATTAATCTATAAATTGTTGATACATATATTATTAGTTGTACAAGAATTTTTATTAATTTTGTTTTTTTAAGTTTTTCTTCCACTGAAGTTTTGAAGCTGCCCACGCTTAGACACATTTCATTTTGTCGGTTTCTCATTGAAAATTCTCTACGCTCTGCACGTTTATTTCCATGGTGCGGACACTTCCTTCCGGGAAACATCAAAACCAACAACAATAACAGTTCTGGTCTACGATGGCGATATCCTGCCGCTGACCAAAGTGAGCCGCAACGAGATGGGCGCCTATCTGTGCATAGCCACCAACGGAGTGCCGCCCTCTGTCTCGAAGCGCATAATACTGGATGTAGAGTGTAAGTATCCCGCAATATAGATAAACATATAAGTGTGTACAAGCGTCGATTGACTTGAGCGAAATGAAAACTATATAAGTATATATACGCACAATACATGCACATATCGAGGCGGCGGCAGTTTGCGTTGAGCTGGTCACATTATATTGCCGGGGCTGTAGCACGCGCGTGCACTTAACGAGAACGATGACAACGACTCGCAGAGACTCGCGATGGAGTGAGTATCTATGCGGCACATTCATCCATCTATACGGCCATTGAGGCAGTCTGGAGTCGTATATCTGCCGCTCATCAATTTAACTGCACGCTCGCTCGTCGCGCGGCCGTGACAAACGCAGCCAGCGACCTGGCTGGTTCCTGCTAATGCAGGTGATATATGATGGAGTCGAGCCGGGCGTTCATTTAAAGTTGTGCGGCTGTTGCTGTCTGCTGGTTGCTGGTTGCTGCACGCTGTGTGCCAAGTAAACGCTTGTTAATCCTAACGAGTTTCTTCGCGCCACCCCTCCCAACCCACCTCAGGGCTGCCTCAGGCGGCCCACACATTGACAATAATTCACGTCACGTAGCTGCAATAAAGTCACTTGCCGGCATTGCACGTATGACTTTGACGGCATTTTCCTTCATTTCGTTTTTTTTTTTTAACCCACCACCGCCCCCATCTATTTTATTATGAACGTTTTTGTGCGTGGCCCTGTGCTGGGTAGTTAGGGGATGCGCGATCCGCCATGTTTCGAAATACAGGTAGGCGCATTGACGGGAGCGCGTTTAAATTTCCAACAAGCCGTTCGCTGTTTCATTTTCGTGTTTGTATTGTGCACAAAACTGGGGCAAACTATGGTAAATGCGCGGAAAAAAACAGATAGTTGAGCTGGATGGGGGCCTTGACAAAGCTGTGTGTAGATATATTGATAGGGTAGACTTTGTGCAACTAAATTGATAGATATTGAAATTATTTATAATCGCCAATGGCATAGATGCCAAAATTAGACGATTATTTGTGGAGCTTCTCGAAATTTTTGAATAGTAGCAATTTTTGGTATCACAAGAGCAGCAATAAACACACTCGAAGCAGTTCTTAAAACAATTTAGTTTCAAACATGACAACATTTTTATATTAACTAGCCCTATAATGGTACCAAAAATCCACAGCACGTACTTCCTGGAAAACTTTACATCATTTTCTTCATTTCTATTTTTGAAAAGTCAGGCTGGCAACGTGTTGTCTCATTGCCAGGTCTCGTAGAAGTGTTTTTCAGCTTTGTCATTGCACTTTCATTTTAAGCTTGCCAGACAGACGACACACACTCACACTCCTACTCACACATACACACACGGGGAAAATTGAGTAGCAGAAAAGCGAGACAGACACATATTGAACATACGTAATGCTGCAGCTTATGCGTACTTTGGCCAAACGCTTGAAATGCAACGCCACCTTGCCTAACGACATACATGTATATGCATACATACTAACATAGACACACTTGTATACATATTTCTCGGTATTTCCCTCTGGTATCATTCACTTTATCAACATTTCTCTACTTTCTCTGCCCCGCGCTTTATTCAGTCTCGCCAATGATTTGGGTGCCGAATCAACTTGTTGGCGCGCCAGCTGGCACAGATGTAACCATCGATTGCCACACCGAGGCTCATCCCAAGTGAGTTTTTCATTCATTTTAAAATATTTTTCTTTTTTAAATTTCGATATATTGCTATTGCACCTGCAGCTGTTAGCTGATCTGCCTTTGATTTTGAAATGCACTTTGTTTTTCGTATTCTATCAAATATGATGAAAAATGGTTTTTGTTGCTTTTGTACTTTTCAGAGCCATCATCTATTGGGTATACAATTCTGTAATGGTATTGCCAAGCAAGAAATATAAGACCGACTACACAGAGAACTCGTATCGGTAAGTCAAATGAATGAAACTTTAACCCCGAAACACGCCCCTTCAAAATGGTGTTGTTAAATATTTATTATGCATTTGCTCTTGACTACAACATTGGCAGCTGCTGGGTCAGGAGCAAAAACACCAATGCATACTACATTTCAGTGCATATGTTCCCGAAAACGATTTCTCCTTTAAATCACCTGCTACTCATTTCTTGTTTATTTGGCATTTAATTAAAATTTTAGAGCTCATATTAACGCTGTGCATTTCAAGCTTATTTTCGAATTAATTTAAATATCGATATGTGAAACACTTGAAATTTTATTTTCTCTCAAAAACAATGTGGCCTTTAAACAGTTTCTTTCGGTATTTTATTTATTTGCCTTTTGGCTGAAATCTTAATCTTACAATATATATATATATATATATATATATATATATATATATATATATATATATATAAATAACTAAATTCGTAGCTAATCTTTCTGCCGGAAATTAATGGCGATATCGATTTGTGGAACACCTGCCGTTTGCTTTTTTTCATTTCTATATGTTTTCTCGCTCTTACTGCCTATTTTTAAAGCGCCCACATGAAACTGACGATAAGAAACCTACAATATGGCGACTTTGGCAACTATCGATGCATCTCAAAGAATTCTCTTGGGGAAACGGAAGGCTCCATACGTGTTTATGGTAAGTGCATTTGTATTTGTAGCTTAAGTGCACTAGTTGCAGCCAACATATAAGCACATAGACACACACCCACACACATACATACCGAATGCAATATCGAGCGCCCTTTGTGGCACAATTTCGCCAAAAGCTTTTACCTATGTGCCGCTCCAGCGCCCACAAGCAGGCTGAATCCGAGCGGAGTTGAACTGCGGCTCGTCTAGCTCCGATATGTGCACTGTGCTCTGGAGCGTAAAACTAAACGAGCGGCCACCAACGGAGCTGAACTGCGTCTGCTTCTGACTCTGGGCTTGGGTTTACACTCGGACCTGCCAAACAAGCAGTAGCAGCAGCAGCAGACACGTAGATACATTCACCATAAACGTAAACATAAAATAAAGGTGCATTCTGGAATTGTTTGACTTTGTATCGTGCACGCTGCAAAAACTCGTAGACCCGTTGAGCCTGGGAGCCTGGGTTACCTGCCTATGCGGGGTCTCACGTATCGTCTGTGTTTCTTTATATTTAGAGACTTTTATTTATTTATTTATTTTTGTATGCACTACAGAGCTGTAGCTGCGTTCGGGAATGAATGAATAAAGAAAAGGTCGCTGATGTTTTGATTGGGTCTGAGAAGGTCGTAGCCTGATGATGTCGTTTATACCCTTCTAAAGGGTATTACAATTGTTTCGTTAAATGTGTAGAAGGAGACAAGTACGACGCCTAAAGTATATATATTGTAGAGTCTTGTCCATTCGATGGTCGGTCTTTTAGTTTTTTGTATTTATTCTATTCTCGCATATCTGCAAAATCGTAGGCCAAATGTTTGAAGGGTATTAAACCTTAGTCATGTACAACATATCTTTACTTTCTCGAATATTCTTTCATTTTTGGTAATTGTTTGTAAGAGAAAAGCAAAATAATATTCTTGAGCTATCCTCGGAGCTGTCTAAGCCATCTATGTGACACAGTCATAAAAGCGTCTATGTTCGGATAATAAATGGGTCCAGTAATATCTTAGCAAAATGTGAAAGCAGTTAGATACCCATTAAAGTAGTTGTGTTGACTTTTTATAGCTGCATTTTGTGTTAAAATAGACAATATTCTTCTAATATTATCTTAACAGCCCAGTTCTAATACTATAAGATTTTTCTGAGAGATCAAGAGTGCATTTCCATTATTTATTTATTTAAAAAAAAAATATATGTAAAATTTAATTATAAATCCAATTAAATTGAATACATTTTCGCAACATCATGTTGACCCACATTTTATATATAATGTAGCTTATCAAGGCTTTATATGTATATGCATATGCTTTTAATTTATTTTCCTTAAGCTGCCTGCAACTTGAACGATTGAGTTCAAAAAGGAAATGGTGTGACCTTTCCACTGGCACCACTTGACACACAAAACCACAACGCAGCTGGCGTTTATTTTACGCAAATACACTTTATATATGCATATTTTGCACACACACACACATACGCAGAGAGACACACACACAGACAGGCGCACACAGGGACTGAAATTAAAAACTCATTTGGTTGATTTTATCATAATTAATTATGCGATGCTATTCGATTCCATTTTGTTTTACAGAGATACCTTTGCCATCAACACCATCCAAACAAGTAACACACACCACCGTCGAGTCCAGGGAGAGTAAGTATAGTATCAGACGAGCTGATGTTAGCGATATGTCTATGGGTGGAGTGGGGCCAGGGCCACGGCTGGAGCTAGAGCTGGAGCTGGAACCGGGGCTGGGGATAGATGCTCACTTTTGTGCTTAACACATCCCGTGGAGCGTCGAGAGCGACGAGCGTTGCATAAACTGTGAAAGTCACACCGGCAAACCGACACTTACTCAGATCCACACCCACCCACACACACACTATAAAACGCAAACACCCGCACTCATACTCACAGAAAAGGATACAGGATACGGCGAGCCACAAACAAAACTGCGAAAGTAGCAGCTAAGCCAGACAGAGCCACACATACCAACGCTGCCAAACACACACACACACACACTCAGTGGCACACTCAAGAGAGTGTTGTGGGGGCGGCGACACGCCCAGAGAAAGAGATAAAGTAAAGCAAAGCACTTTTGACTATTTCAACGTGGGGCTTTCGAAACTCAAGTCGAGCAGAAAAGTACACACACTTTCAAGTTCTGTGTGTTCCGCCGGCTGTGCAAGTCCAGGGCAAAGCAATATGCTGCGGATTATGCTGCTAGGGATTTTCGGGGGCATTAGGTTGGAAACACATTTGAAACACTGCCGCGCTGCAAAAAACAACAACAACAACTCTTGAGAAAGGACCAAACATATTTTATTTAAAGTGACTGGCGCGGCGGCGACTTCCACTGCAACGGAACGTAATCCTTGCCAGGCAACAAAGGATGTGTTATATCTATATATGCAGGAGCGTATATATATGTGTGTTTGTGTTTGTGCTGGTGTTTGTGCGCGTGGTAAATTTTTGTATCGTAGCCAAGTGGCTGCCACAAGATTTCCACACAATTTAACTTGAAAACCATGTCAGCAAAGGTTGAACAAGCTGTATGTGTGTGCGGACGTGTGTGTCTGCGTGTGTGCATGTATGTGTGTGGGGCAAGCTTTCTTCTTATTGAGTTATTAGCCATACTATAAACAAGCGAAGCGTGCTAATTTTAGTTTCTTTCACCATCCCCATACTTTCGCACTCTTCTAGGCAATATTATACCAACTTTACGCAACGATTCAACGAAATCGCTACAAACGGATGTTTACGCCATGAAAAACGATTTGTATGCTGGCAGTGGCTCATCGTCGGCGGGCTCCAGCTCATCCGCGGCCTCGTCCTCATCGATGCAAACATCCTTGCTGCCCGGTGGCGCCCCCGGCAATAGCCTGTCAGCGCTAAGCGGCGGCAGCAAGGGCTCCCTGGCGATAGGCAAGAGCATGTTCTACACGGAACGTCCACCGAACGAGTACGCAAGCTCCACCGGTAAGTTTGTCTGCTTCTATAAATCTATAACTAACTTGTGATAACTCAACCCATCTACTTATATATAATATTTATATATCTTTTGCCTATTTGTGCTGCAAATAGCTGGAGCTTTGCATAGGCTGTGTTGGCTGGGCGTAGGATTAGTTCTGCTGTTTGCTGCGCTTTGAAATCAATAATTTGAGTTAAACTAAAAACATAATAAAAAATGGCATTTGTAAAATGCAGCCAAAGGGGGGTGAAAATGGGGTAGCTTTTAGGTGTATTAATTTCACAGCTGAAGCAAACTGAAAACTGAAAACCAAAAATGAATACTAATTATGTTTATAGCTACAATAATAATATAACTAATGAATAGCTCACATTTAATTCAATTTGTTTATGGTAAAATTAAACAAATTTGTTAAATGAATATTGACAATGAAAATAAGCGACAAAAATAATTAAACATTTCTGCTAGCGTGTGTAGCAAACACAAGAAATGCTCATTCTATGTACAATATGAAAACGTATACATTAGAAATACACACACACACACACACACACACAAAGACAAACAGAAGACTAGTGAAGAAAAGTTATTTGTACAATACAAAAATATGCATGTTCGTGAGCATACAAAAAAAAAAAAAACAAAATATATTAAATCCATATAGAAATTTAGTTTATAATAAAATTGTTGAGCTTTTGTTTTTGCATGTGTTCGCATGTGAGTTTCCTAGGGCTTAGCATTTGGTTTTTCTTAAATACACATGCAAAAATATTTAGCCAAAAAGCAAAGCTTTTCCAACGAGCATTATCCTAGACTTAAATAATATTTTTCTTTGGCCAGCTGCTAAGTGAATTGTCCATGGAAATGAATATACACTTGGATTATAAATAATTTAAAATGAAAACAAAAAGGATAATCGTTTAAAAAAGCGTTGCATATTGCATAAAATTGCATATCTTAAGCAAATAACAGAATTTATCATATCCCAAACGTAAACATATGATGAAAATACATATGAAGATTGTGTCTTTTGTTTGTTTTGAGTTCTTAAATAGAGTTTTTAGTAGCTTAAGTCATGCAATACAAATTGCTGCAGTTCATTTATTGGGTTCATCATTAATTGAACATTTATTTACCATTGAAATTTTAGTAAACAAAAGCTTTTAATTTACATATTTAACTTCTATACACTCTTGCATTACATTTATATTTTTGAGCACTTGATTTTTTGTTCAATTTAATTTTCGATTCCGATTCTATGTACTTCATGTCCGGCGCTTTTGCAATATTTCCAAATATAAAAGAAATTGCAATTTCTTAAATGCAGAAATTTCATTGGGCTGCCTGAGGCTGGGCGGCAGCAAGCTGGCTTTACAGTTGTTGCCATGTTTGGTCGTGGCAATAAAACGCCTTAAAAATGTCATTAATTTTTACATTGCACGCCCACCACCCACCTCCTCCCGCCTCGCACTCGGCGCTCCCTGGGCGCCGGGCCACAGCCAGAAAGAAATTGCAATAATAATATTCTGGCAACGTGCACGTGGCCATTGGCTTGATTTTACGTATTCGAGCAAATTGTTGCTTACTGGCTTCGGTGTCCACATCCGTGTTTCTCGTACTCGTTCTCGTCCTCGCAGCGCTTTTGTGCGCTTTCATCATTTTTTAATAAATGCACATGCTAATTATATTATTACTCATACGACCCGTGGCACGACATTGGCCGTAACGCCGAGTGCCGAGCGCCGAACACGCTGAAACGTTGTCTGCGCGAAATACTTGCAATTAATTTCAGCATAAAATTGCGTGGCCTGCGGTCTCCCCGCCCCGCACAATGACACACAGTTAACATGTCCAATTTATTGGTCATAATTCATGCAGACCAATGACGAGGCCCCCAAAGGCAGTCCACAGGCCGCCCCCCAGTCGAAACCAAGCGACTATCGACAGCAAGAAAAATGGTATTAAGGCCAGAAGATATATGGCACATTTGCATATATATATAAATATATGTACAAAAAATGGGCAAGAGCTCTTCTCTGTCTGTGTGTATGTGTGTGCGTGTTTATATGCGCACACACATATATGATATGTTGTTGTGTGTGAGCGGGGTTAAGGGGCAGCCAATTTACTGTATTTATGTCATGTGTGTTGTTGCCGTAACTATATATGGTTTTAATAATTTAAACCGTGTTGCATAAAGTGCGGCATACAGTGCGTGGCAGCTGGCCAAGTGGCAGAGCACACATAGTTAACTGTTAACCGATGTTAACTGCAAAAGGACTCGCTGCAGCGCCTAGATAAATGAGTGTATTCAAAGTAATATATGAATAGTCAACATTGTTGCCGGCACAATGCAACAAAATTAATGCTTTTTATTTTATTTCATATTTTTATTGTATACTTTTCGTCTGCTCATTGTGTGATTGCTATTATTGTTGTTGCTGTGGAGCAAATAAGGACATGCGCATGTTGACTTACATGCATTGTCGCTTCTGCCATTATCTCGAACAATGCAGCTAATTAAGTATTATAAATGCAAACCATAAGGCAGCACGCAGCGCCTGCCCCAAGGACATGCAAGCGCCAATATTGTCAACATGCGCTTTAAATTTGCGCCATATGAAGCTCAACTTTTCTTCAATATATAATTCATTTGCATTTATTGCTTATGATTTATAAGCAGGCATTCATTTTGTCATTTCTCATTTTTTGCATTTCATTTAACATTAATTTGGTTCATTTAACATTAACTTGATCTGCGGCTTTTGTTTTTTCTTTCCGTCTTACTCAACAAATATGTAAATAAAAAAGTTCGTTTCATATAAAACTAAATTATTATATATATACATATATAAGCCGCTGTACACTAAATTGCCTTTTTATGTAAATAGCTAATAACAATTATAAATAATTATTGCCACAATAAAATTCAATAACACAGCGCAATATAATTAAACAAAAAAAAAACGTATTCCATTTCAAAATGCATAAATAATAACTAGTTTTGAAAACAAAAGCTGCAGAAAGTTTAAAGTAAAGAATATAAAAAAAAGAAAAACTCGCAGTGCTCGTATTTAAGCCGGTTTAACTATAAATAATTGATATAAATATTAAGTGAAAATAATGATATTGAAAATAATTGTAATAAATTATAATATGCATATACATATATTCATAAATATATATATATATAAATAATTATGTTGTTTGTTGCCTGTATTTAAGATTTAAGATGAAATATCAAATCAATAATAGTATTCTAAATGTCGCAGGCTTTTGCAACGGAAAATTTCCTAATCATACAGAAAGCTGCAAAAAATATGAACTAATTATTTGTGCTAAGTAATTGGTTTAACGAAGCGGCTGAGACACATAAACAATAACTATATAAAAATGCATTAGGTCCCATTTCAACTTATGGAAATTGATTTGTTAAGCAAACAATTTAAAGTAATTTATAAAATTAAAATTTTATCATAATTTATTTCGCAGCAGCAGAAAAGTATGCAACAAACATTGTTTTTTGAATTTGCTTTACAATTTAATCCTTAATTAAATGTCATTATTTAATTATTGTTTGCCAGCCGCTCAGTTAAAAAGCTAAGCTATTGTAATATAAACAAATTAACTACAAAGAAAAGAAAAAAACATAAATAATAGCAAACACACAAAATATGTATTTAAGATTGAGACTAATTGTAAGCAGTTATTACGCGAAAATAAGCATAATAAAACTTAGGTTGATTGATACCAAAGCAAAGGGGCGAGTAAACGGGAAAAGCAAAGCAGAAAAACCAAAACAAAAAAACAAAATGCGAACAAAATGGAGAACAAAGTAACGAACATAAATAACTGTTGTTTTATTCAGCAATTTGCATCTAATTCAGCGCTCAATTACATGCGTCGACGTCGACGCCGGCGTCGCTGTCAGCGTCGACGTCAGCGTCGCATTTATGCAAATACCTTTGGCTTTGGCTTTTCGGCGGCTTTACGGTGGGGTTTTGACATTTGGCTCTTGCCGGCTTTTAGGCCAAAAACGTTAATGAGCGCGTTTATTTTACAGCAGAGCAACAACTGCATGAAAGTGTGTGTATGAGTGTGTGGCTAAGTGTGTGTGTGGTTGCTAATTGTTTGCGACATGCAAACAAGTTTAACACAAAATATGCTAAACATTTGCGAAGCAAAGAAAACTGTTTAATAATTTAATGTTATTTGCATAGATTTGAGCTGACGCGTTGACGTTGCCCAATTAAGCTCGACACGCAGCACACTAAAGCGCCAAGCCAGCCAAACCACCCACACCACGCACCACTTCAGCAGCAAGCGCATAATTTGTTTGTTTTCATGATGGCCAGACGAACTTTTTGGCGACAAAACGTTTCACTCGGCACGCACACGCTGCGTATACGCAATGTGCTACAACAGCAGCAGGCTGCCTGACAGGCAGGCAAGCGGGCGGGCAGACAGCTTAAAGCCGTGCGCTTCAATTTGGTTAACAACTTTTGCCACAAGCATGTAAACCACTTGGGCGCACTAACATTATCATAATTATAACATATATAGACAGACACAGGACGGAGAGAGAGAAACAGACATACAGCGGGGCGGACGGACACCTTTTGGTTATCTCGTGGTTGACGCTGGCGCCACTTGAGCAACTTTTCAAAAGTCATTTAAATTATGCGCACAAAAGCGCGAAAATGATGCCACAACGTGAATTCAGGCGCCACTTACAGCCAGCACACACACACACACACACAGAGAGAGAAAGCGTGGAAACACAAGCGGAAACCACATTTGTCGGCAAAGTTTTGCCTACAGCCGCTTCAGCATAGCGAAAATAGTTGAGTGCAAAGCGTGCGCACACTTAAGATAAGCTTCAAGCGCAAAACTTTCATCTTACAAATTCGCGCAGCACCCAACCAACCCGTCGCACACTCTGCTTTCACCTACCCCCCCACCAAACGCATTCAACAAATTAATTCTGCGCCCATGTCTGTCTGCCCCACTGTCGCCATGTCTGTTTGTCCCTGCTGCCATTCGTGCCGCTTTTGCAGCTGCAGGAAATATGTTTAATTTCATTTAAATGTAGTAAGTGCAACACTTTGGTTAGCTTTTGCCACGGCATGGCGTCTGCTTCTGGATAGCTGCTGCATGCAGCCGGGGAATGGGGGTTGGCGCTTCTGGCTTACATTCATGCGGGGCTGCTGCTGCTCGCTTCGCTTCGTGGCGCTGAGCAAATGCAATGTTAAAATTCTGTGTGTGTTCTTTGCCAGATTTTACACATTTATTTGTGTAAATGAGTTACAGCTCAAAGGATGC